CCATAAAAGTTTTGGTGTTCTATGGTGGCATCCTATGAGTCTATAACAAGATTTCTTTTCATTCTAACCCATCTCCTTGGAACAATCAGTTCTCAGGCAGCCTAGGTGAAAAACTAAGAGAAATGACCATGACCGACAAACGCATCGCCAGTCTAGATATAAAAGAAAAAAAAAAGCATTTTATCATTAAATTTTGCTCTCGTCAAAATATCCTCCTTTTATCCTTGATTACTGCAGCACAAATTGTTTGCATTCGTTGCAAAAGTTTCTCAAAGTATAAGTTATGTAACTGATTCCATTCTTTTTTCACTGACTATGAGACTTCTTTGGGCACCTCGGGGTGTAATGGTTAACAAGCTTGTCTCGCTAGAATAATTACGACTGAGTAGTGAGTTCGATCCTCACTGGATGCCCCCTACTTTCGGCCTTGTGCCACATCTAAGCTACGCTTGGAAAATCAATTGTGCACCTCGAGGCGGTGTAATGGTTAGCAAGCTTGTCTTGCTAGAACAATTACGACTAAGTAGTGAGTTCGATCCTCATTGGGTGCCCTCTACTTTCGGCCTTGTGCCACATCTAAGCTACGCTTGGAAAATCACTTGGGCACCTCGGGGTGGTGTAATGGTTAACAAGCTTGTCTCGCTAGAACAATTACGACTGAATAGTGAGTTCGATCCACACTTGGTGCCCCATACTTTCGGCCTTGTGCAACATCTGAGCTACGCTTGGAAAATCACTATGAGAGCTCTTTTTCATTTTGGGGAAGGAAAGGTTTCACTGTTCTGTCAAGTTCATCCCATGATAATTCTGGTAGTGTCTTCAAACATTTGAACTGTAGTCTGTGTGTGTATATATATATATATATATATATATATATATATATATGAGATAAATTGTAGCTGGGGACTGTCTGTCTACTCATTCCTCTGGGTTTCAGTCAGAGCTGTTGAATTTAAACTGTACAAAGTCTAGCCAGTTTCTTCTACTTTTATCCATTTTCTCTCTTTTAGTCTGTTTTCAGTAATGCCGTCGTCTTGAACGTTTCAGTTCTTCCTCAAATTGTCTCTTATTTACACCCTTGTGAATATTAATTGAAACAAAACGAATAATTCCGTTATCATTTAATTCTTTACGTATTTTTCCCAATGACCCAGTGCACACGTTAGTTCTTCGTATGTCCACTCCACTAAGTCGTTCCTTGCAGATGGACACAGATTTTCCAGTCCAGTGTATAGTGCTTTGATTTGCTTACTGGTAAAGCTTGACAGTGTATTCGTGCAGCGTTACAATTTTCTTACGCTTCTTTGAAGTAACGTTCATCGCAGCCAATGGGCGTAGGACAACTAATCGATAGTCAAGACAATAGTGTCTAGGTGCGATAAAAAACAGATGACGCAATATTTTTCAAGGCCAAACAAATTTCATCATACACCCCGAAAATAGATTCATATAACTGCACACCATTCCAAATGAGCTAATCTAAGGAAAAAATAGAAATCGATTACACTCTGTCACTCCAGTGGGTCTAAAACCGACCGTACAGTGAAAGAAAGGAAATAAAGCGGTCATTTCAATTAATTTGCACAATGGTGTACATCTTTCTATAAACTACTTGGATTTTAACCATTAATCAGCTTCTATGGGAAAATGAAATAAAATCGATAAATTAAATAATAATAATTATTATTATTAATAATAAAAAAGAAATTATTATTCCCATGATGCTAAGAATAATTGATTATCAAATTTGATTTTGAAAAACATCGTTAGGTAGCCTATACAAACGGAAACATTTATCGCCTTAATATCTTTTTCCTCTTTACACCAATATCTGAACCACGTGGTAATTACGCTCCTCAGGAAAATACTAGTTGCCCCTATCCACTGACAACTGAATTCTCTTTTTCCCCTTTTCAACGACATTGTTCGGACCTATTTTGGGAATCCTACTCAAGAATTAATTGAATTGATCGTTCCAACTCAGCGCAAGGTTGACTTGAGCGCGACCATAATAACGATGCTTGTACAGACTAACCCTAAATTCTGGATGAACAAAAAGAAAACCATGTTTAACCATAACCATGGTTAACCTAATTAAAATAGCGACTTTGCTTTGGTTTTTCCAACTCTGCGAAAGGCTGACTTGAGCTTTACCATACTTACCCCAAATTCAAAATCAGGAGGAGAATGGACATTCCGATGACACATTGAGAACTTTGTTCCACTACAGTCGTCATGAAAAGAATAAAAGTCCGTAGTAGAAACTCAACTTTTATATGCTTCTATCTTCAGTGTTTACATATTGAACACGACCCCACCCCCGACATAAAATTCCCACCTTTTTAACCTTCATAGGTTTCTTGGTTTTTGCGTAAGACAAACTGCTTAAATTTCTGCGTAAAATGTTTTAATACTTGGGTTTAATAAATAGGAAAAAAGACATTTTTAATAGAAAATCTCAAATATTACTAATGGAATATAAATAACGTATTTCATTGTTTTGTTTAATTTTTTTAAATTTTTTTTTTCCATTTCTTCTTTTTTTTATTTGAATTCCTTAAGCCGCACTGATGTCAATAATGAAGTTGCTTAAGAACGATGTAGTCAAATTGGAGATGCTTATTAAAAATCGAATATTTTCATCTTCTTTTGCATATTTTTTCATTACAATTCCGTTTCTCCTTCACACTCAACTAGCGAACTCTTCAATGTCGGAGATGCATTCCGTCCTCAACAGTCATTCTACAATATCGGCTCACTGCAATTTTCACCTTATCATAACCTATTAACAACACCGGCTTCATGAAAACTCTTATCAAAACAGCCGTGATTCACAAAGCAAAGCTCCCTTCAGTATATTATCCAGCCAACTCCATATCTGCTTAAACCCTATTAAAAAAATAAACATTCCCTTCACTCCCGCCACCAAAAAAAAAAAAAAAAATGTCTCCTTATCTTAAAATTGTTGCAAGTTGTAATTTTATTGTGGGTGTTCTTTATTTTTCATTTTCTCTGTTTGTTTGTTTATAATTGTATTCAACGAAGATTTTTCGACTGATTTTTTCCCTGCAATAAATAATGTTAATTCCCCAAAAAATGACAATAAGAAATAAATACATCAACAAAAGAGACAAAAAAAGCCGATAAAAAAAAACGCTAGTAAAGTATAATGAAGAACTATTACTTTAATTTGTTGGCAAGTCTCTCTTTCCCGCCCCCTACATACTTCGCCCTTTTTCCGAGCATACAAAATAGAGAAAACGCTGAGGTTAAATAAAGGTTTCTGTTGTTAAAAAAATTATAAAAAAAATAGCAACAATAAAAGCTGAGTTACTATCAACCGGAAAGGCAATAATTTCGCAAATATAACGGCCATATTTTTTTATATCTCAATTTATTTCCTTTCTTTGGGTTCTATTTAAAGTGTGGGATTTGAAATCCTTCTTCAAGTGACCTTATCAAATCAACATTTACGAAATGTCTTACACTAACTAGGCTAAAAAATACTTATGTATAAGAAATTTGAATAAAAAAATATAAAAAATATTTAATAATAAACCCATTTGTTTCTTTTGCCTCTGATTTGTACCAGGGGAAGAAGAAAAAGTTTAAATTATATACAACATAATAAATTGTCATCTTTTCTTCATGGCTATTGAATTTTGAAGCATCCTCTATCATGCTAAGTTTGCGTTTTCAGCTGAAACATTTTTATTTTGTGGGTGGGGACGAAATTTTTCAAATATCTCTTGATTATTTTCTTTGGAGACCAAATTGTGACGACTGGGATCATCTTGTTTGAAAATGCAATTTTAGGCGGTGTTACTTGGTCAAGAGTAAAGGAGACAATCTTGTGAGCGTTACTGTAAATTCAGTAGTTTTATTGTAATTTGTTATCGAATAGCTGTTCGGTATTGTGGAAGGTAAACGGTATAAAATTTATAGAAAGTAGGACGAAGAAAGCATTTTAAGGGAATACTTGGAACTGAACGAAAGAAGAGAAATAAAAGAAAAAAGAAAAGGAAGAAAAAGCAGTAATGTCACTCATGAACAGTAAGCTACGAGATGTGGAAGAATTAAAAATAGAAAGATGAATGAAGATCAGAAAGAGAGGAGAGGTGTACAGTAGATAGCGATTGGCATTGCATTTAAATTTTTATAGATTAAAGTTGGCTGGAAAAAAGGACCCAGAAAGGAGTTCCAGAAGAAAGAAGTAAGAGAGAAGAAACTCTTAGCATAGAATTTACGGCTACATAAAGCCAGCTGATCTATCTATCTATCTATCTATCTATCTATACCAGCCCATTCATATCTATCTATCTATCTATCTATCTATCTATCTATCTATCTATCTATCTATCTATCTATCTATCTATCTCAGCCCGTTCATATCTATCTATCTATCTATCTATCTATCTATCTATCTATCTATCTATCTATCTATATCAGCCCATTCATATCTATCTATCTATCTATCTATCTATCTATCTATCTATCTATCTATCTATCTCAGCCCGTTCATATCTATCTATCTATCTATCTATCTATCTATCTATCTATCTATCTATCTATCTCAGCCCGTTCATATCTATCTATCTATCTATCTATCTATCTATCTATCTATCTATATCAGCCCATTCATATCTATCTATCTATCTATCTATCTATCTATCTATCTATCTATCTATCTATCTATCTATCTATCTCAGCCCGTTCATATCTATCTATCTATCTATCTATCTATCTATCTATGAACAGGATAACAAAAAGGAAGAAAAAGATTATAAAGGGAAAAATCAAAGAAATAAAAAGAAGATAGAATAAAAAAAAAACGAAGGAAACACATTAGAGAGGGAGAAAGTAGACTAGAAAGGGAAAAATCAAAGAAAGAAAGAAAGAAAGAAAGAAAGAAAGAAAGAACGAAAGAAAGAAAGAAAGAAAGAGAGAAAGAACGCAAACAGAGGAGTAGACAGCAAGAATTCAGACGATGTTTATGAGATTTAAGCAAGCAAGTAATTAGTGGTGAAGATAGAAAGTAACAAGGCAGACGACAGTTTTGGGAAGAGAGAGAAAAAAAAAAACACCAAGCGAGGAGAAAGATAGTAAGACAAATAAAAGCAAGAAAGATAACACGGAAGGA